TCTGGTAACGGGGAGAAGAAACTGCCATCCTTTGTAAACGATGCAACAACACCACAACTTTCTGCAGAGATGTTCTCACCACAGCCATCATTTTAAGTTTGCCACACTTCTGAATACACCTCAGAATTTGCATTATAAATGAAGAGCAACTATCATTTCCTCCTGGTCACTGGACAATGATTTGCCAGCTTTCTGAGCATGCTCTCTTCCAGGACTGCTTTCGTGAGCCACAGTGTTTATATGTTGCAAAGGCAAAGGAGGTTGATACAGCATAAGTTTCTCTCCCAAAATAACCCCACGAAACGAAGGCAAAAAAAATAACAGCCTTCGCAGATTCTTCTAACCGGCGCTGCTCAGCTCTGCTTGTGCAGAGGGTGAACGAAGTTGTTGAGCAGCCAAGCTTCTGCCACCGTTCAGGAGTGCACTAAATAGCCAAGAAGGGTTATTAATTTAAGGCTGAAAGCGGCCAGATCAGAAAAACAATTCCTCCAGGGAGACGGCTCCGGTGTGTCACAACAGTTGCTCTCCCCCAGCAGCCGCCTGCTCTCGGCAGACGGAGCGCTCGCTGCCTCGCGCTGGGGAAGGATGCGCTCGCTCTCAGACCGAGCAGAGCTCTGCCAGAGCTGTGGAGTGAGTGAGTAACAGCCTGTGTTATAAATCTCCAGGCAGAAGCAGAGGGACACCTGCCCTAATTATAGCAGCCGTACGTTAAAGGCTAATAAATCACACAGCCACTTCGCAAAACTAGATTACCCGCAACAAAAGGAAGAACTGCAGGGGGTAAACCTCTCTCCTATGAAAACTCTTAAGGCAAATTTAGTCAGAGGGATCTCAGAGGGATTCTCACTTGTGCCAGGAAGTAGGGATGTTTTTCAGAAGCTGTTTCCAATCAAAATGTTTTCCTGAATGACTTATCAAGACAAGAAAGAATAGAGGTTGGACAAATTAGAAGCGTACTGTTGCACCATCGCCCCTTTTCTAGCCATTTTTAATTCAAAGAGGTATCATCATTTTGATGTTTTTCATATGACAAAGCAGAATTATTTAAGCTATCTAAGGCTGGCAGTAGGACACTCAAGAGCACGGATGTGTTGTGTTTCACTGCCAGTGAGGCACTCCCAGTGCAATACAGCCAACACAGCCCTGGGGGTGGTGATACTGCAGCGTCACCAGGGACAGCTACTTCTTACTCTGTCCAAAGGTGCTAAGATGAATCTACTTAAACCTTTATTAGAGGGGCTGCCATGGCAAAGGTTCAGGGTGGCCATTATCAGCACAGTAGGTGGTAGACACACCACCTACAGGTAATTGTATTATTTGATGTGCACGGTGCCACACCAAGAGGTATGTACACATTTCACGCGCCTCAGTCCGCACGGTAGGGAGGCACCAAGGGCAGGCAGCGAGACAGGTCTGTGTGAGCCCAGACAAGGCACCACTGAGACAGATGCCAGCATGTTCTGTGCTGCTTTGACTCCTCTCAGGCATTTTCCGTCTGAAGGGATGAATGCCGGGTGCAGGTTCTTCGTATAGGACACTTAAAAACTCTTCCCATCCAATTCTGCTCACACAGCCTTTTCATCCTTATTTTTCAAACCGAATCAATGCTTCTACCAGTCCTCAAGTAAACTCCTTTCACCTGTACTTTGGTTTGTTCCTCATCTATCCAGCACCACCGACAACATCATTTGAGGAAACAGAGCATTCATTCCACTCTGTACATAAGAAAATTTACTACCCATATTCTCCACCTTGCCAGACTCACCTTCTTTCCCCAATTCCACCACTCACTTGAACCATTCCACTGTAATCCATTGCTCCTGGCTCATGTCTATTCTCCTCTCCCACCACAAGTCTCTTCCTTTAACTTACCAGCTCTGGCCTACTATCAATAACTGACATGCTCTTACCAAACATCTTTTGAGGAAACCTATGAAGCAGCACAAGTCAAAAAACACCAAGGCATTTGGAAATAACAGAGAAAGAGTTCAAAACTCTTAGAGAAGACAAAACCCATGGTCCACACCTGCTGCCTTCTTTCAGTTCTGCTTTTTTCCTTCCCAGATAATACATAAGTTTGCATCAAGCAGTAAGACAAACAAACAGCCCCCCACTGATTATAATTTAAAATAAGCCAAAACTTTCAAGTTATTCTGAACACTTCTGCATCTGTAGGCACAGGACTTCACATGCATTGACCTGGCATTACTTCTTGCTATTTCCTAGCTCATTTTCTGGATCTTGCTTCAAATTAGGTTTTCATCTCTTTCAGGTGGCTGATAAACTTTTTGCAACACAGACTGGAGTGTTTCAGCACTAACCTGAAAGGAAAGTCTTCTGCAACCTTCAGATACTGAGAGAATGAAGAAGACTGATAACATAATTGTGAACTTCCTCCTTTTCAAAAGGAAATCGTTACTGCACTCAAACTTTGCATTATTTGCACAGTGCTGTTGCCAGCCTCATATGTTGCAGTGGATGGCAAAACGAGACTTCCACAGTGCCCAGATGCAGTCAAACAAGTTAGCACCAGAACATAATGGAGGGTAGTCCTCCCACGCACACACGCAAATGGCAGTTTAACAGATGTTCCTCTTTTGAAAATATATTACATATAGCAAAACAAAGAACAAATTCATCAAGTTTTGTTTATGTTCAGCACATAGTTCTCCTAAAATTTATCACAGTTTAAACTCAAAGTTTTACTTAATGCACAGGTCTTAGGGGCACAGGTATCTTCACACAGAGCAGAGAAAGTCAAAGCCCTGCATTCCTCTTAAAGTCATATAGATTAAATACTTCTTCTCAAAGAAAGGAACACTTATTTTATACCACTCAACAGGGGAAGAACAGGAAATGATCTTTGTTTAATCAGATACTGAGCTTAAGATCTTGCAAGGGAGTAGGCTTGATTTTTTTTTAAGGTACAGCTAGATGTTAGGGCTTTATTTTATTTCCAAAAGTCAATTTCAACAAATATTTGAAAATGGAATCATTGATTTTGGAGCACTTGCCAGCATCATGATGTGAATGCCTTTAGTTATATTTAAAGTGAGATCGAAAGATGGTAAGGGACAAAGTTAATTTTGGAAGCCATTATACTATGACAGTCTTTGGTATGCTCTACTTCTTTTCATAGTTGAAAAAAAACCTCACTATATTATGTGAAATGAGTAAGTTAAGTGATTATGCTTCATGTTCACTGTGTGTAGAAGCATACAGTCAACAGAAAACGATGGAGAATCAGGTAATGGGATGCTGAACGAGGGGAGGCCATGCCCAAACACCTACATCTACCTTCTCGATGGGAACAACTGAGGACAAGGGGTATGGTCAAGAGCTGTTTACAGGCCTTCTCCACACATCAGGCAATCTTGTCCAGCAGTTCTCCCCTCACAAGGCACAACTCTGGCAACTTTAACCAGACTGTAACACAATGAAGGAGGGTGAACAATATTCCACCACCAAGGTGCTTCACAGCTGCACATAGCCAACAAGAAAATTGGGAGATAACAGCTTCATCTTGGTGTGATTGACTACAGTGAATGCAAGGTACTGAAGAAATAGGTCTATTTACACTCAGCATTGCTTCATGTTGTTAAGTTTCCTCTGGCCCTGTTTTAGCTCTTCCACCTCCACTACACTACTTCAGGGTTTCTTGCCAACAGAAAGTATAATGTTAACTTCTAGGTGTTGCCATTACGGACTAGTGTCAGCATTTCCCAAAGAGCCACATTTCTACAGAGGAGTTACCCAACTGACCAGAATTATATAAACATCTGCAGCTGACATCTCATCTTCAACAGAAACAAGCTTCCACAACGTTTTGTTCTCTTCCTTATGATTACAGTGAGCCGCTTGCTATCAGATACTTTCAGCTGTCTTGTTTCATTTAAATTCAGTGTAGATATGTTCAGATTAACAGCACCACCGAAAGCAGTGCCTTTTTTTTTTTTTTTTTCTCATTATAAGCTGCTCAAACCCCATGAACTTAGACCACAGACAACATTATTCCAAATCCAGAGTGCAGGATTTAATTACTGATCCAGCCACCCAGTTCTGCGTTTACCAAAATAACTGCACTAAATAAGGCACGCTAATTGAAGGAAAAAATATATTAGAACATTGAGGAGAAAGATGACACATCAACAGCATTCGCATCAGGTTCATAGGACAAAGAAATTCATGTACCATAGAAATACAAAACCCTTTTAGCCAGTTCAATCTTTTTCTGCCACAGACCCAAAGATATTAATTTTTAAGAGCTGCAGGGTCCTCACACCCTTTCCTCCTCTTTTCCCTCAAAACACTGTGCCCTTAATGCACACTGAATCCAGCTCCTCTGTCCCCTTCCTATCTCCCCCCAAAGGAGATGTATGGGATATGCAGTCAGGAGAAGGCAGATGGAGTAGTACCCAGTTAGTTGATGCTTCTCAGACAGGAAGAAGGGATCTCCCTTGTACATTATAGACAAGTGAGGGTATCCATATATTAAAACCAAGTGTAAGTGCTGTCAGTTACTCTCCTCAGATATTTCTTAGGTTGCCCATCTGCAGCCTGTACAGGAAAGCAGACCAGCTGGGAAGCAGCTGGGCAGCAGAGGGGGGAGAAAAGGTGATCCAGGCACAACTTCTTGGACTGCTGAAAAAGCAGGAGGAGAAAGGTGGCAGGCAGAGATAGGAGACAATGGAGCTCAGGAGGGCTTCACTTGGAGGGAAGTGGATTGTTCAATTGGACACTCACACAACATGACTTGGTATACACTTCCTGAATACAGTCACCTTTCCGAAGGATATTTAAAAGCCCTCAGTGCTACAGGTATCCACAAAACATGTATTTCAAACCTTAAGAAGAAGAATCTGCTTTCTTTGATTTCTAAAATACTAGTTTTTAAACATATTCCAATAGGCTGCAGATTTCCCCAGCTTAGCAGATCTCTCTCCTCCTTAACATTTGCCATTGAGAAAAAGTATGAGTAACAGCAGTATTTATTTTCTCACCTGCATCTGCTTTCTGAGTTCCCTTACGCAGGCACTGTCCTGAGCAGTGTTCTCACGCTGGGATGCATCTGCTAGAACATTAACTGTCGTCTCTGCCTCTTGAAGCCACTTGAGGAAGCTCTCCAGATCCTTGTGTGAGGCCTGTATTGCCTTCAGCTCTGTCTCCAGGAAATTCTGCCTATCAACAGCTCTAAAAACAAGACAAGTGTCAGAATATTCCTCCATGACACACAGCATTATATACACCGTAATGAAACAACTAAAATGAAAACTAAAAGTTACTTGTATTAAAAAACTATACATCTGTCACAGCTTGTTTTATCATTATATCATTGTTGCTCTGGCTCTTTTAGCTATAGCTACCCACAGATGTTCTGAACTGGTTACATATGTCACAGCCCTTTTTAAAAAAACATGTGGAAGAAACTTAGTTATTAAGTAAAAACCTAGCTTTTCCTTTCAGTATTATCATCATGGGCTTATGCTAGCCCAAAGAGGAGAAGTGTTATTTGCATGTCTGTAAAGTGTGAATGCTTTTCCTCATCAATAAAAATCATATGGAGTAGAAGCACGGAGGGTTTGGGGGATTTTTTTTTTCCTTCTTCTTTTACAGCAAACAGAAACATTTCCCTAACTTTGTTAAACTGCTGAAGGATGAAAAGTCAAATACCTGTCTCTTTCTGCTAAAAGACAAGACTTTTGACACTATCAAACAAACAGAATAATATACTGCCATCAGCACGGTCAAGCCATGCTAAACGTGCTTAAATCTAAAGAAGACTGACAGAATATTGTCCAAATTTTCAATCAAGCCAAAAGATCTCTGGTTCATACAAAGACAAAAGTTTTTGTTTGTAAGAAGAATTTAAGAGATGCAAGGAACCAATTCAAAACCTTTAGATTATATTGTTGGTAAGCAACTTCAAAAGATTTCCTAGAAAGACAATCACATTTTACTTCTGCATAACAGAACTGCCTCCTTGTCATTGAACTGAAACTCAGATGGAAAACTGTTATAGTCAGCAATTTTAAAAGCCCTGATTAACAATGTTAATTAAAGCATGACAAGCTAAATTAAAACCATTTGAGCCTGTAATTCTGCAGTATCTCTTTTCCCAAAATAAGGATAAAAGAAAGAAACAAGCTGTCCCACACCAGCACATTGTACAGAAACCCCTAACAGGGCTACTATCTAGAATGCTGCTGCTAAATAAGAAGTTAAATTTCATTCTCACATCAAGCACTAACCATATTTTAAGATTCCAGGGGTAAAGTGGTATTTAATTGAAACTAAGATAAGGCCAAAATACGCAGTATCTGACATTCTCACATTAAACACGTTTCTCCAGGCATACTCAAACTTATCTATCTTCTACCTCTTCCTATTCTGCTTAGGGTTTCTTTCCTCCTTGCCAAGCTGTGGCAACAGCACTGCTCAGCATTATTAGGGAATCACTGTGTTTAAAATTACAAATTTCAAAAGTAGTGAGAATACTCTGTTTAAAAAAGAAACTGCAGGAGTTCAGTACCATTCAGGATGGCATTTCAAAGCAGGTATTCTGGATTACTGGCACATCAGAAAAGAGAGATGCAAGGAAAAGCTGCTTTCCTTTAAGGGCAGTAAGAAAATCTCATGCAACCCCAATTCTGCCAGGCTTACATTCCTAAGTATTAGTTAGCATAAGCAACTGAATTTTCTAGAGACTACTTGCAAAACAGTGTTGCAGCCTCCACTTGAGGAGCTTAGGTCTTATGTCACCTCTTAACTGCTTTATCCAAAATAAGACTATGTGAATCATTCCTGACTTCATGCTTGCCCAAGTTTTGGCTACTGCTACATGACTATCAGGGCAAGAAGCTTTCATTCTTGCTTCTCCCTTGAAGCTCTGGAATGTTTCATCCACTCCTAAGAAAATAAATCACATGCTAGGGATTACAAATGGTTTGATAGATACTGCCTAGAAACGATAACCAGCACCATCTCAGAAATTAGAGCACACTAAGGAACTGCAAGAAAAATGTAAAGTAAAAGCATTTGTGAGCTCTGACTTCAAAATCCTTTCCCTCTGCAGGGATTTTTCTTCCCTAGCAGGGGTTTAAGGCCAAAGGTGGAAGAACAAGAGTAACAACAGAAAGAACAAACTGGTAATAAAGTTGACCTTCAAAGAAAACAAAAGGCCCAAAGGATGAAACACTAAGTGACCCAGATCTCTAAGTACCAATGTGCTAGATGAGAATTGAGACAACCTGAACTTTGTCACTAATACCATTCATTAAAGAATGTTATCTTCAGCATGAAGTTTTAATTTCTCAAACTTTCTGCTTGGTTGAAACTAAAAGAATGAAATCCTGTTACAGTCCCAGTGCTGTCATGATATTTGAATTAAAGCTGAAAAGTCCCTTCACTAAATACATACTCCAGAGGCATAAATTAATAGATTTACAACTACTGCTCTAAGATTGCATAGGTCATTTAAAGAGGAGCTGTGTAGCAGTAGCATCAACACTTTTACAGAGTGCACACAAATACTTTCATTTCCTTACAGTAAAGGCCACAAATGTAAAATAGAAAACGGTGGAGAATTCTGTACTAGACATTAAAAACCACTCCATGCCATAAATAGATGACTGAAGTTTTCAAATAATACTAATACAATTAGAACACCCTCAAAAGTCAGAGGGTCCTTCCAGGATGTAAGAACGAAATGTATGGAGAACTTGGAGAACCTTTTACTAATGCAGCTAACTTCAATTAATAGTGATAGTGAAGAAGGTCTAAGCAGATTCTACTAGCAAGGACACATCCAAGAAAAAGAAAACTGTAGCTTTACTATTTAAGTTTTCATGGTATTGTTTCAGGTTTCTGTTGCACCCAGTTATTTCTTCAGTTTTAAACTAAAAATCCACAATGCATTCAAGTGTGTGATGAAAAAGAAAGTCAGAAAATAACATCTGAGACACTACAGGCAGCAACCATAATCCATTACTGAGGCAGCAAAACCACACAGAATTACTACAGTTTTATCCTAAAGTATAAAAATAGAACATGAACAGCTACTGGGCAGAATGTCCAAGTATGTCAAGCTGGGGAGCTTCAATCTCTTAACGTCAACAGTTTTAAAATAAGCTTCTTCAACTTTACATGCTATGGCTACAGTCTTCCTGGTAGTGTTCTTGTGCTGTTCAGGACAGTGATTCTCCCAAGTGATGTTAGAAAGCACCCCTTCCTTCCACAACCTCCAAGCAAGGCACAAATTGTTATTCTAGATCTGCATTTGTAGAGGCCATAGGACCACACACATGCTCCGTGTACAACCCCAGCGTGTCCCGAGATCTGCTGCATGACGTAAGCCCTGTCACTCAAGGTTCACTAGTATTTCTATTTATTGCCTTTAAAGCAAGTATAAAAACCCTGTTTCCCTTTAAAAGGTGCTTTCACTGCACATTCTCCCCTCTTAACTCTACTCTGCTGCTCCACGGGGTTATGTTGAGCAGCACCACGCTCTGGCCACCCACTGGCTCTTGGAGTTCTCCTTTACATTTTGCCCTTAATTAAAAAACGAAGCAGATAATCATCTTCTTAAGGCTGCAGACGGCAAAACAGTAGCCCCAGTGATAATTGAGGAGCCTCAGTTATACACAACAGAATGCAACTGCTTATTATTCCAGACTTTCAGCACATTCAAAAATAATTAGAGGCTTCCAGGCAGGAGTTCTTCTTTCTGGTCACCTGCTCTGAGCAGTGGGCAGGTTTGTGTTAGTTCTGGCCAAAACACTGCAAAGTTTGAATGTGAATGAGACTACTACAGAGCTGTAGTCTACTGTTACTGCTAATGCAACACGGAGCTGTTTCCCTTCACCCACTAACTGCATCTTCGTCTCCAGATATCATCGTTCAGATTAAGTTAATGACATTTTTGGAAAAATTAAGTTTACTTTGAGGACAGAAAGGGTGATCTGATGGTGAAAGTGCTTCAGTATCTAACCTTTATGCCAATGAATGGTCAGGAAGGGCCATTTCAGGAGATGATCTCATCACTATGAACTAGTTCATAAAAAGTAAAAGCCAAGAAAGTTTTGTCAAATGCCAAAGTCCTTCCCACAGTATACTGGAAATTTTCTGAAGAATCACAGAAATAAGTTTTCAGCATCACATAGAATAATTATGAAATAGTTTGTTTACTTGAAAAAATTTTATAACTCAAAACATTTAGATATTAATATTGTATTCTCTCTCAAATCATCATATGGAATGAGCCATACAGCATTTTCCCCTGTTTTCTACCTCATCTCTCAACAGAAGTAACCAAGAAACCAGCTGCCACAAGAGAAGTACAAAATGATAGAAGTACCATTTTCCTCCAAAGAAGGGTAAGAAGACATTCTACTCTGATTCTTTCTTTACCTGCTTCCTGCCACTGCAAAGTTCTCCTCCTCTCACTCCCCAGGACATAACATCAACTTGAGAGGCTTTACTACCTAGGATTTTTTCCCTTTACTGACATCTCATTACAAAAGCAGTTGCCCTTTTTACATAGAGACATGAGTAGACTTTGGTTGTCATCTCCTCTACTCCCATATACACAGAATCAATTTTCTCTTCTGCCCCTCTAACCACAAAGTGTATCATCCTTTCTTTAAGCTTCAGGCACTGAGTCAGACACCATTCTAGATGTTAACTGTCTAAAATACTAAAAAGAACTGCTGCAGAGATTACATTATCTTGCAGGAAAACAACGTTATGCATGGGGAAAGACTGTATTTTCATTAAGATATATTTGCAAATATGTCTTAATAGAGGATGAATAGAAAGAATTAAGTTTCAAGTAAGCCTCAGTTCCTAAGCTCAAGTATTTTCTAGATGAGGGTGCTAGAAGCATAACACTGAGGAACTCAAAGTGCAGCCCCATTAAGGGAAAGTTTCTGTTAGATAAAAAGCTGCAATGAATCAATGTGTCAGAAGACCAAGCTGAATACTTAGAGCCTTGAAGAAAGCACAGCAACAAACGGCAAATACATTAAGGACACCAGAACAAATGAATAGGAGAGGAACTGTTCAAAGACACTCAGAAAATAATAGCTACAGGCAAACCTGAGACTAAACATCAGAGAAGTACTTTTCTCCCTTAAAGAAATCCACTACATAAATGAGAAGTAATACAGAAGCCTATGGTGAACTGTGGGAACTTCAATCATCAAAACTCAAAACAGTTTCACTGTAATTGGTTAATTATCCACAGTAGCCTTAAATGCTGCAGTAAAGCAGACAAAAAGGCTACTAATAGACATGTATACATAGGATATCTTTCAGACACAGCTGCTTATAGAGTGAAACCTTGTAATTACCTTTGGTTCAGATTAACCCAACAAGTGTTCATTTGGTCAGTGGTTTCCTTCACCCTCCTTGTGTCATCATCACGATACTCTCGAAGAAGTTTATTAGAAAGATCATTGAAGGCAGCGACTGTGATGTCACCTCTATGCAAATCCTGTACTAACACCTAAAAAGCGATTCCAGAATGAGACATTAAAATAAAAATTATTTGTCATATTATACATTTTATCATATCATAAAGACATTTTTGCCTTTTTAAAATATAAAAACCAAAAATGTGCACGTTTTTCATCTAGAAATCCTACCACAAAAATCTGTTACGCACAATTGTGTATGACACAAAGTGTCCTGACAATGAACGGAACAGGTGAGGAAAAATTATATTGGCCAGAACCAACAAAGGCTAAAAAAATTCTCTTCTGTTTTACTGGCAACAGAAGTAAAAACACTTAGATATTTTTAGTAGCATGAACAAGCAGCAGCTATAAGTGGCATAAACGAAGCTCACAGCATGAGAAACTGATTTCATTGTTTTGTGGGATTTTTTTTGTTTTTAAGTGAAGAAAATAAATGAGATATGTTTACTTATTGTGGCAGGATATTCATAAGGTGACTTCACTTTACAGAACACTGAACTCAGGATTATTTCTAAATGAAAAAATATGCTTGGATATATGTATGTCCAACTATACCTTATGATCTCCATACTATCTCTGAGCACAAGTCTACTTTCACTTCAGAAAGCAAAGCTGACCTAACAGTCCATTTCTAATCCCCTGCTCATGTAAAGAAAGACTATGAAAAGCACATTTACTGTTTACAGAAATAGCTATGGATCAGGGAGGAATTCTCACAGTCGTACTCCCCGCTTCTTTCCACACCCAGCTGCACCCCTCTATTGTCCTTTCACAAATATATACACGTACAGAAATACACATACACTTTTTTCAACTCTGCTATAGCCCTGTTCAAAATACTGCTCTGATAAGAGCCCCTCCTTGCTGATTTGTCTCTTTAGTTCTCATCCTGTGCCACCTACAGCCTGCCCTTTTCCTCACAGCCACCAGGACAAAGGACATCAGACTTATTGATTTAATCACAGCAGGTTTGCTGTGATATGAAAAGCAGTAAAGATTGTATGGGATTGGGAGGAAAAAAAAAAAGGAAAAAAAAAGGAAAAATGTTGAATATGCCTGGCACCCATCAGAACTGAAATTCAGGATACTTTTAATTAACTTGGTCCATTCCCAGATTCACTAAACTACTGTTAATAGGTTTCTGTGAAGTAATATACATGCTACCTTCTGTGGCTGTAAGCTTAAACTTATTAGTCTGAGGTTCAAGCTTTTTGCATACCATTTATTTGATGCTACACTACATTCATTTCAATTATAAAGCAACACAAACACATGCCTCCTGTTTTCCTCCCAGAAAGTTACTCTCAGGAAGTCCAATACATTAAAAAAAGAAAAAAACTAGAGTTTAGCATGCCCAAAAAGAGTCAAAATTGCCAAATCAGTTGTACAACTAAGTTGTATATTCACACATTGCCTGAATTCACTAGCATTACATAGAGACTGAGAAGTCTTGTATGGAGTTTAAAAAAAAAAAAAAAAGTGTGTAGAAGGTCTTACTTTGTTGTCTGAAATCTGTTTGGCAAGTGTGTCTTTTGGGGCCTGCAGGAGCATACGTAGACGGATCTCACACTGCTCCATGAGGTGCTCCATTTCCTGCCTCTGCTTCTCCCACTGCACGCTGTCTGTCAGCATGTACTTCAGCTGCTGCTGTCGCACCTCCACGCCATGCTGGGTGTTGTCCCACTGGTTCTTCACCTTCTCCACTGTGGAGGACAACACAGAATATAAAAAAGCTGAGGCAAGCATGTAAGTAGCAATAACTGTCACTTAATTCCTAAGATAAGAGGCAATAATATAATTTATTCTCAAATATAGTCGTTTCCATATTCAATATTTTAGTTTCTCATATAGTTTACACATCCACAACAGCAAACAAAAAATGCAGGCATTTGGCCACCTCTTGTTTAAGTGGGTCAGCATGTAGGTGACAACTATTATTTCTAGAATATTTCAAAGCTGTTACTTTACTTTTTAAGTACACACATGTGAGAGGCAAATCTGGTGCAGCTGCACTTGCAGAGATAGGCCAGCAGCAGGGCTCCAAGGAGCACAATTTTAGGGTGATGGCCGCACCAGCAAGTCATCTTTGTACATCTGCAACTTAAGCCAGTAAAAATAAACAAATAAATAAATAAATAGAGCCTGTTTAGATCTGCATAGCTTATACTAACTGAGTTTTCCAGACCACTGTGTCTTGAAGGCAGTCTAGTGGCACTGTTACTACCTTTTTGGCCGAAGTAGAAGCACTAGAGTAACAAACTACCTGGGCAGTTTCATTCCACCATAGGTTTCTACAGACTTATGTAGATTACACAGCAGAACAGAGGTTATTGATCACACCCCATTTCCTTCAAGTACCCCCTTCCTCTCTCAATAGAGTTACACTAAATGATCAATAAACAGGTTTTAACCTTTAATAAACAAAGGGTGAAAAAGACAACATGGCAAGAGTCTAGGACAAAAAAAAAAATAGTGTGTCAGGGAAAGCAGTAAGTCTGCCTTCAGAGAGAAATAAATAGCATCATGCCTTTTTCTTAACACTTACACACCATAAAAAAAGCATGTTACTTGAAAGTATACAGAGGTGAAAACAGGTCTCCCTATTACTTGTCATTACAGTTATTTATGAGGAACACACATCACGAGAACCAAAGAGTAAAAAAAGTGCCTGTAAAAAAAACTAACAAGGCAAAAAAAAACCTAAGCTGGTTTTCTTTAGTATGTTTGTGCTTTAAGCAACACAAGAGGTAGGCAGTGTGTAACACATGCAATATATTTACCAGTAAGTATGCAATTTTATTAGAAAACTAACACACTTGATACTCAGGTCACATCCATCTTTCCATGAGGTAAAAATGCCAAAGGTTGTGCTTAACTTAAAACCACTTAATTTAACTTTACCCTTTGCATTTTTTTTTTTTTTATCCTTTTACACTTACACAAAGGCATTTTGCTTGATCTGCTTGAGACTATCTCTCAACTTTAATACATTCAACAATATTCTGTTTAGTTTCACAAAGCTCTCAAAGACTCTGGCAGTGAAGTCCACTTTTCAGAGCACTCTATTACTGGTGGACCAATCCAATAACCTGTGCAATACAGATCTGCCAGTTTCAACCCACAGCCAACTTTTGGATTAATTTTCAGGCATGACACAGGTCACGCTGAATAAGAACTTAGAAGAAAACTTCAGTAACCAAACAGCAAATAATAATATGGGGATTTATTTACCCAAAAAAAAAAAAGAAAAAGAAAAAGAAAAAGAAAAAATGTTATACCATTGGACAAAGAGTATGCTCAAAGGAAACCAGGAGCTTCTGGCAGAGATCAATAGTTTCACTAAAACAGCAAAAGCAAAAACAGCAGCAATGAAAAAAGCCTATAACCCTGTATGCTAGGTAATGAACTGCACAGAAAAACCTCTTAAATGTTTAGGCTGTCCTCATACAACTGGAAGGAAAACATATTCCTGAGAAACAGCTGCGTGCAATAGCAACTTGGTTGAACTGGACAGATACTTGATGTTTACATACCATTATTATTATTACAGAAAGAATACTTCTTAATATCGTTTTCCCTACTAAAGTTAACCTTATTTACTGCACAGTTGACATAGTTCCCCTCTCTTCATTCTCCACCAAAGCAGGACAGAAAAATAGCTAAATTCTTGGTAGCCCCAGCATTCAGCAGGTTCAAGGTAGGTTCCTAGAAAACATTGTCAGGGGCACCAGTCTGGTATTAAAGGCAGAAAGATTGGAAAGAATTCCTGATAAGACTGTGGTTTTAATTCCCAATGCCCATACAGTAATGGGGAGGGAAGTTCCCGAGAAGAAAGCTTTTTTCCGGTTCTGTGCTTCTAGCTATTTGAGTAATTAGGCTTCTTCTAAGAACACACATGAGGCTCACAGGAGTTTGTAGGACACCAGTATAGTCCCCACAGTGTTTCCACAATGACATGCATAAAGCAGTCCTGAGCTTCACTTTTCTTCAAAGAGCAAACTTTTCTTTATAATGTCAGTAGCACCAAAACCTTCTGGTTTTTTATGTTTTATGACAGGCAGCAAAATCCTCAGAAGCATCTAGGCTATCTGCTAGAAGCTTCATTTATGGCAGCATACACAGCTTTTCTGTTCCCACCTTGCATGGGCATGACTATAGGGGAATTCTAAATTTTCAACAAACATTTCCATTATTCCTTGTTCACCTTTTTGGAAGAATCAAGAAAGTTTCGTGACTAACCAGATCTCCCCCTGTTGACTGACACCTACAGACTAGGTAGTTACTATACGCCCCTAAGTTTCCACTTAACCCCTAGCTCTGAATGGCTGCAAAACAGGACCTACAAATTGTTTTAACTTCTTTGGATCTTATTCCCCCACCTACCCCTAGCTCCTCTGAATCTTAGACAGCAGATGCCTTCACATCAGCACCTGTGGGCTTTCCATCCGACGACCCCATTATTATCTCCAGCAAGTCTTAAGGATATCAAAGAAATTCATCTGGATGTAGTAAAGGAAAACTGCATTACAGAGGAGAACAAAAAGAAATATATCTTTTTGTTTTTACTTCTAATTGTGATATTTTCTGCTTGATTAACTTTCTAATCTTAGCAACCGGCAAAGATTAAGACTTCAAAGAATACATTGTACCTTAGTTTCTAATTGTGTCAGTTGTATGTTTTCTTCCCTTAAGCAGAAGTAAAAGAAATTGTCAAAGGAGGTGGGGAACTTTAAAGCGCAAACTCAATTTTCAAGTACATATAAGTACCTTAAAAGCTCTAATATCTCTCAATCAGCAATTTCAAAAGTACACACACAAAGTTACTGTCTCAAGTCAGTAACATTCATACTCTTCACTAACTGTCCAATGGATCATAGCTCAACAAAAATAGATACATGATTAGTTCTTTTTATCAATAAACAAACAAACAAAAAATCCTCATTCCCTGGATCTGTGGCTGTCAAGTAACTCGAATTCTTCATAAGACAGATTGAAATCCCAGGAAAAAAATTTTTACCTTCATACTTGAAAAAACAGCCAGTCAAGAAAACAGGCAACAATTCTTGTTCCAGGAATTTTCATTAGACTACTACAGTGAAAGCCATTTAACTGTTAGGTTCTCAGTTTGTTCAAGGAAAATTCAGCTAGCCTCAAAATCAAAATTTTAAGACAGGTTATTTTCTAGCATGGAAACACTGTATTTGCAAACACCGAATGAAGAAACTTACATTTTTCTGTGATCACTGTCCTAATATCTGAACTGGAAGTTTTATTTTTCAAATTCTGAGCCAAAGTAAAAACAGAATCAAGCTGAGGGTGCCGCTGGTCCAAATCTGCCTTTGTTATCTGTTGAGAATTAGGATACGATTTTGAAGTCCACAAAGCAGAATTTAATTAACATCATCTGTATTATTTGTAGCTAAAACATGTATATGACTGTTCTCACCATTACTGTAACCCTTGAACAGGCACAGTATCACAGCACAGCTTTAAAAAAGCAGAAATATTCTGAATTACAGTTACTGAAAATCCAAAGGTGAAGGTTAACCTGTACAAACTACACGGTTGCCACAGTGTCATGGTTAAACCATGGTACGCAGTCACTGAATAATATTTTCCAATATATACTTTTAACTCTCCCACAACTTGCTTTCCTCCTACCCAGCTCTAGGGGAAAGAAGGGGAGGGGGAAAAGAACAGGGAGGAACAATCAGAATATATATCATACAAAAAAATGTAGTTATTCCACTGTGGCAATGTACCAGAAGCCCATATTACAAGTATAGTACAGCTCATATATTTCCAAAGTTACTGTACATCACATTCTTTCAAATTCCAGATTGTCAGACATTCACAGAAGCATTTTTAGCACCTGTTTAGCCTCCAGCTTTTTGCTCTACCGTTACTTGTGTTAATTGATATCAAGTCAAATAAAATGAACCTTAATGGTAGCATAAATCTCAAATACTGCCCTTAGTCACAGCTCAGCATAGCACGAACTAGCAACAGAAACAAACATTTCCATCATAAGCATTTCTGTTATAACTTTTAATCATTTCAGCATGTCTCTGGAAACCAGTTTAGACAAACTGCAACAAAACAAAACTCATTAGAAAACACTAAGAAGCAGATCACAAAGGTCACTCTCCAAGCAAATATGAAGCTGCTCCAACTTCTGTATAGCACACGCTATCTACACCATCCTAAAAAAAAAAATACCATTGTCAGGATGTATTCTCTATATGCTTTGTTTAAAAGGACAAAAAAATAGCACTGCCTAGTTCACATATGGATGCAGTAGTTAACAGAGGGGAGACAAATGTAGTAACAACAGCATTTAAATTGTAATTTTAAAGTTACACATTTCCTTTAGTCAGTTTCTTGGTTTTTTTAAACACATTTAATTTCTTTACTAGAATGTACAAGCTATTAAAGTGTGAGCCAATTTTCCAATCCACTGGCCTTCAGAAAAGCACATACTTTCATTCGTGCAATAGTCCGATTGATCTCCTCAGCATTTCCCACGGTGACTATGTTTGACTTGAGCATCTGGTCAATCAATACCAACCAGTCAGCCAGCTCTGTTGTAGTTTTATCCAGATCAGCAGGTGCAGAAAGTTCCAAAGCCTGCTGACTCTGAACAGGAATCTCCAAGGAAGAAGATACTAGCACCACCTTTTGGACATCTGAAACACAGTTTGGGGGTTGTTAAAGAAAAAGTCATGGCCACGTGCAATTGTGGGAATTACAGGTTTTTTGTAATTCCTATGAATACACAACAGCATCTACAGAGAAAAAAATTGTGTTTGAGGCATTTTAACTACCAGAAACTAAGCCAGAAACTCCTTTTGGCTTTTTTCCCCTTAAGGCTATTATTTCACTGCATGCCAAAGACTCACCCAAACAATTCACCTACATACAAAACAAAGAAGAAGAAAACTTACAACAGCAAAATTACATTAAATCTAATGGAGTGAAGCTAAACACTGACACAAAAGGGAATCGACTCTTATTAAGCATAAAAACCAAGCCTTTTGTTTAAGATAAATGTCTAAAATTGTCTTACTTTTGTATTATGTGACAGAGAGGTTTTCCCCACTCTTGGCTCAGAATCCACTTAAGCACTCTGAGCTACTGCAAGAGATGCTTCCTGGACTGGGCAACACACAACTGTCCTAAGAAGGGGCAGGTGCCTGCCAGTTCAACCCCACCCTTTCTATCTTTTTAACCTGACACTGCAATGAAGTGAAGAATGAGCTGTTCAAGATTTTTTTCAGAAGCTGTGTTTGGTTGCATTCTAGTTCTAAGACAACACTAAGTTAAGCCAACCTGGAGTATGAATGTTACATACTTGCCTCAAGCCATGAAATACAGGAGCTTTACTTAAACACTCTGTATGAAAGGAAAACAAGCTGAATCAAAGTTTTGAAAGGCTTAAACAGGAGTTGGCTTTCCCCCTGTAAATTCTGTTTAATCCTGCTATTTTTTTAATATATAAATTTATACATCTAAATAGCTAATCTACTGTAGTTCAAGATAAAAATTCTTTCAGGCAAGGGCTGCCATTTTTATCTAGTTTTCTTAAAAAAGAGACCTACGCATCTTGTTTACACTCTGTATTTGTCGATCTGCCTCCAACAACTTGGAAAGACAGCCAGTGTCAGTGTCTGATACAAGAACATATTGTATTTAGACAGCTTCTCCTACAAGATTCAGAAAGTATCTAGTAGATAAGAAAGACCTACCTGTGTCCCTGTTGAGCATCTGAAAGATGCAGAATGTCCTTTATTTAAAGGACTACAGACAGCCTGCATACAGGAAATACCCTACAAATACTTA